TGACACTATTCTAACTCCCCACGTGACTCTGTGACCCCGACCAGCACCATTCCAACCCCCCCAGGTGACTCCAGGACCCCGACTGGCACCATCCCCACCCCCCCGACCCCATCCTATGACCCCCCAACCAGCACCATTCCCACCCCCACATGACTCTACCCCCCTCATCCCATCTTGTGACCCCGACTGGCACCATTCTCACCCCCGCACGCGATACCAAGGCCCGGACTGGCATCATGGCAACTCCCCAGGTGATTCTGGGACCCTGACTGGCGCCATCCCGACCCCCTCAAGTCATCCCAGGACCCTGAGTGACACCATTCTCACTCCCAGGTGGTTCTCTGACCCCGACCGGCACCATTCCCACCCCCCCCCCCACGACACCCTACGACCCCGACTGGCACCATTCCCACCCCCCCAATGTTATCCTGTGACCCCGCCCCTCCCCCCTCCCCCCCCATGACCCCGACTGGCACCATTCCAACTCCCCAGGTGACTCTGCGACCCCGAGTGGCACCATCCCCACCCCCTCATCCCATCCTGTGACCCCGACCGGCACCATCCCAACCCCCCCAAGGTTATCCTGTGACCCCCCCCCGCGACCCCCCCCCCCCAACGCGCCCCCGACCCCCCCGCCCCCGCCCCCGCCCCCGCCCCCGCCTCACCTCTCGAGGAACCCGACGGCCTGGCGGGCCAGGCGCTGGGCCAGGCGGTCGTAGGCGGCGGGCTGCTGGGTGACCTCGAACCCGGTCATGAGGAAGCAGTTGGCGGGGCGGAAGTAGCGCAGGAAGGCCAGGAAGGCGGCGGCCACGGCGCCCGCCAGCAGCGCCAGGGCCAGGAAGGCGGCGGGCGGCACGCGGGCCAGGCGCAGGCAGCGCAGCAGCGCCAGGGTCAGCACGGCCGCGCACAGCGCCTGCAGCGGCGCGAACACCAGCCAGCGCACGCCCGCCCCGAACACGGTCCCCGCCCCGGGCCGGCAGTCCCGCAGGTTGGTCACCGGCGCCCCGTGGAAGAAGTCGAACCCGTGCCGCAGCGGGTGGTGGCAGAAGTCGCCGCGGTGCCGGCAGCTCAGGCCCAGGTGCCACTTGCCTGTGCGGGGACGGGGGGGGGGGGGTGGGGTGGGGTGGGGGGGTGAGGCGGGAGAGCACAGGGAGGGGGCGGGGGGGTCAGCCGGGGGGTCCGCGAGATGTGGCGGGGGGGGGGGGTGGGAATGGTGTCAGTCGGGGTGATAGGATGGTGTGGGGGGTGGGGACGGTGTCGGTCGGGGTCATGGGATGACATTGGGGGGTGGGAATGTTGCCAGTCGGGCTCATGGGATCGTGTGGGGGGTGGGGATGGTGCCAGTCGGGGGTCATTGGGTGGTGTGGGGGGTCGGGATGGTGCCGGTCCGGGTCCGGGGGGTCGGGATGGTGTCATTCGGGGTCCGAGAATCACGTGGGGGGTCGGGATGGTGTCGGCTGGGGTCGTGGGATAGCGGGGGGGGGGGGTTGGAATGATGTCAGTCGGGGTCGTAGGGTGACGTGGGGGGTCGGGACGGTGTCGGTCGGGGTCATGGGATAGTGTGGGGGGTCGGGATGATGCCAGTCGGGGTTGTAGAATGACACGGGGGGGGGTGGGAATGGTGCCGGTCGGGGTCCCGGGACGACGCGGGGGGTTGGAATGGGGCCAGTCAGGGGTCACAGGATGACATGGGGGGTAGGAATGGTGCCGGTCGGGGCCCAGGGGGGTTGGAATGGTGCCAGTCGGGGTCAGGAATGACGTCGGGGGTTGGGATGGTGCCGCTCGGGGGTCCCGGGACGACGCGGGAGGCCCCGGGGGGGGGTGGGGATGGTGCCGCCCCCCTGACCCCGCCCCCCCGGCCCCCGACCCCGGCCCCCGACCCCGACCCCGGCCCGCGGCCCCCGACTCACCGACGAGCCCCGTGGCGTAGCCGCGCTCCTGCAGCAGCCGCGCGAAGGTGACCTCGCCGGGGGGCAGCCCGCCCGAGGAGGCCGCGAACAGGAACACGCCCACGCGGTTGTGCGACGCCATGCCTGCGGGCGGGGGGGGCGGGGCGGGGTCGCGGGGGGTCACATGATGTCATACGGGGGTCACGGGGGTCACACGGGGCCAGACAGGGTCACATGATGTCACATGGGGTCACACAGGGGTCACACAGGGTCATACGGGGGGTCACGGGGCCACATGAGGGGTCACAAAGGGTCAGACAGGGGTCATACGGGTCACACAGGGGTCACACGGGGGTCATACAGGTCACACGGGGTCACTGTGGGGTCACAGGCAGGTCACGTGCGGTCACACTGGGTCACACGGGGTCACATGGGGTGACATGGGGTCACACGGGGTCATACGGGGGGTCACACAGGGCCAGACAGGGTCATGTTAGGTCAGAGACGTCACACGGGGTCACACGGGGTCACCCAGGGGTCATGCAGAGCGTCATAAAGGGTCACACGGGGTCACACAGAGTCAGACAAGGTCACATGATGTCACACGGGGTCACGGGTGGGTCACGGGGGGTCACACGGGGTCAGTGTGGGGTCATATGGGTCACACGGGGTCAGACAGGGTCACATGATGTCACATGGGTTCACATGAGGGGTCACAGGGGTCACACGGGGTGAGACGGGGTCACATGATGTCACACAGGGGTCACACGGGGTCACATGATGTCACATGATGTCATACAGGGGTCACACGGGGTCACACACACGCGTGTCCCCGTGTCCACCCACGCGCCCTCCTCCCCGGGTTGCGGGGGCGGGGGGGGGGTCCCAGGGGCCGACGCGCGACCTCCCCCCCGTGACCCCCCCGCGGTGACCCCGCGCCCCCCCGGCGGGTCACACGCGTCCCGCCCCCCCCCACCCCCACCCCGCGGGGCTCACGCGCCGCCGTCACACGCGTGTTCCCGTGTTCGCGCGACCCCCCCGCCCCCGCTCACCCGAGCGCACGGGGTAGCGCCCCGTGAGGAAGGCGGCCCGGCTGGGCGTGCACAGGGGCGCGGCCGCCAGGTGCTGCGTCAGCTTCACGCCCTCGCGCGCCAGGCGGTCGATGTTCGGGGTCCTGCGCGGGGGGCGGGGGCGGGGAGGGGACACGCGTGTGACCCGGGACCCGGGGTCGGGGGTCACGGGTCACCGCTCCGGGGTCAGGGGTCAGGTTCCCACGCGACGGACACACGCGTGGGACGGACACGCGTGTGGGAACCGGGGTCGGGGTCGGGAGTCACCGCTCTGGGGTCAGGGTGGGGTCGGGTCAGGGGTCACAGGGCGGCCCCCCCCCCCCCCCGGTGGGGTCAGGGGTCAAGGCCCCGGGGGACACGAGACGAACGTGTGATGGAGACATGTGCGTCACACGCGTGTGGGACCCGGGGTCGGTTTCCAGGGGTCCCAGTTCCGGGGTCGGGGGGGGTCGGGGGTCACCCCCGGGGGTCAGGGGTCAGGTCGGGGGGGTCGTCAGGGGTCCCGGGGGACACGCGACACGGACACGTGACGGACACACGCGTGGGACACGGGACACACATGTCGCGGGCGGCGGGCCCCGGGCTCGGGGGGGGGTCAAGGGTCCCAGTTCCGGGGTCGGGGGGGGGTCGGGGGTCACCCCCGGGGGTCAGGGGCGTGGGCGTGCGCGGGGCGCGGGCGGGGCGTGGGCGTGTCCCCGCGACACGTGTCGGCAGTGGGCGGGCGGGCGTTGGTGCCACGGCGTGAGTTCCCGTGTGCGAGGCGAGGTGTGTGTCGCACATGCGTGTGCGTCCTACATGCACGTGTGTGCGTGTGGCGTGTGCGCAGAGCACGTGCACCTGGGTGTGGGGAGGTGGGGTGGGCACGCGCACCTTGGCGCACGGGGGCGTGGGGGACGTGGTGACACGCGTGTGCTCGGATCCAGGACCGTTCGCCCATGCACGTGTCTGTGCACACGCCGACACACGCATGTCCCTATGCACTGTACGTGTGCGCTCACTCTCACACGTCTTCACATGCACGGAAACACGCACGCACATACATAGACACATGGTGGGTATTGCGCACACGCGTGTACGCGTGGACAGACACGTGGACAGGTGACACATGTGTGCGCACACCACATGTGCACGGTCCCAACCGGGTGACGTACAGTGACACGTGATGTGACCTCCGACCCCCCCCCCCCCGCAGACCACGGAGGAGCGCGCCCGCGTGCCCGCCCTGAGGCCCGGGCGCTGGTACCAGTTCCGTGTGGCGGCCGTGAACGCGCACGGGACCCGGGGCTTCACGGCGCCCAGCAAGCACTTCCGGTCGGCCCGAGGTCAGCGCGTACGCGGGGTCACGCGTGGGCGGGGGGGGTCACGCGGGGTCACGCGTGGGCGGGGGGGTCACGCGGGGTCACGCGTGGGCGGGGGGGGCGGGGGCGGTGCGAAAAACACACGCGTCCGTGTCGCGGGCGTGTAAGAAAAAAAACCCTCACCCCGCGGCTTTCACACGTGTCGTCCGCGTGTTCACGACGGCCCGACACGCCGACCGAGCGCTTCCCGCGCGTGTCGCCCACACGCGCACGCGCACGCGGGAATCCATCCCGCGGGCACGCGCGTGACTTCATCCCCGCCCCCCCCCCCCCCGGTTCCCCGCAGCGCCCTCGGCCCCCGCGGCCCCGACACGCCTGCGCGTGGGGAACTGGACGGCGGACGGCGGCGGCCGCGTGGCGGCGACGGTCACGTGGGACGGCCCCGCGGGCGACGCCGACGCCCCCCCCGTGCGACGCTTCCGGGCGCGGTGGAGCCCGGGGTCGGGGCCCGGGGGGACGACGCGGAGGGCGACGACGGAATCCGTGAGTGGCGGCGGGTGCACCGGGGTCGGGGGTCACGCGTGTGTCGTGTGTCCCACACGCGTGTGCGAGCATGTCATATGCGTGTGCAAGCATGTCGCACATGCGTGTGCACCGCGTGTCGCGGGCGACGCACACGCGCGTGGTGACCGGGGCGACCCTCCCACCCCCCCCCCGGCAGCGCTCCCTGGCCCTGGCGGGGCTCACGCCCGGGCGCGTGTACACGCTGCGGCTCCGCGCCGAGGCCTCCTGGGGGCGCACGCGGCTGCGGGGCGACACGGCGACGCTGCGGTTCGCGGCGGGTGAGTGACGGCGGCCCGGGGGGTGGGGTGGGCCGGGCGTGACGTCGCGTGTTCCCGGCGTGACGTCGCGTGTTCCCGGCGTGACGTCGCGTGTTCTTCCCGTGACGTCGCGTGTTCTTCCCATGACGTTGCGTGTTCCCGGCGTGACGTCGCGGGTTCTTGGCGTGACGTCGCGTGTTCCCGGCGTGACGTCGCGTGTTCCCGGCGTGACGTCGCGTGTTCCCGGCGTGACGTCGCGTGTTCCCGGCGTGACGTCGCGTGTTCCCGGCGTGACGTCGCGTGTTCTTCCCGTGACGTCGCGTGTTCTCGGCGTGACGTCGCGCGTGCACGCGTGCGAGGCGCACGCTGACGCTCTCTCGTCCCGTGACAGGACCGCGCCCCACCCCGGGCGCCTGAGGACTGACGCGGGTCCCGCGACGTCGACGACACACGGGACACGGGACGGCGGTCGCCTAGGGACCCCGCGTGTGGGTGGGTGGGGGGGTGGGTGACGTCATCGTGGGCGGGGCCCCGGGGGAAACTGTCCGTCACGTGGCCGGCCCCGCCCACCACCACCCCCGGGGGGGGGGAAAAAAATTTTTCGAGTAAATTTTGAAATTTCGAAATTAAAATTTGGGAAATTTTTCCGGGAAATTCTGAGTGTTCGAAATTTGGGAAATTGAAAATCGGAAATCGAAATCGAAAATTTTCGTTCCCGCGTGACGTGTGAGAAGGCCCGGGATTCACGCGCCGGATTCTCGCAGCGGCGTTTTCTAAATTTAATTTTAAATTTTTAAGAAAAATTCGCTGGAATTTCGTCGTGAAATAGAAATGACTACGGTAATTCGTCCCCCTCCTCGGCGGTTCCGGGACGCGGACCGCGCCCGGCGCGGCGGGAAACACCTATTTATCCTCCGGGGGGAAAAAAAAGAAATCTGAAATTGTGAAAAATTTTGATGAAATTTGTGAATTTGATTAAAATTTCAATAAAATTTTCAAAGTTTGAAAAATTCGTGATTTTTGATTAAAAATCTTGAAACCGATGAATTAACAAAAACCACTCCGGGGGTTTTCTTCGTACGATTTCTCGCCGCGGCGGCGTCGCACGGAAAATCCGAGTTCCGGTAAAATCATTGCCGGGGAGAACGGCGGAGTCGCGGCCGCGCCGCGCACACGCGTGTGATTACGGGGCAGGGAGAGTTTGACACGTGTGGAAAGTCAGAGCACGGGCCCGCGTGGCGGCGCTCAGGCCCGGTTCTCATGGTTTCCGTTTGGGGCCGTTTCCGTGACGTTTCTGGGGGAAAAAAAAAAAAATTGGAAATTTCAAAATCAAAATTTGGAAAATTTGAAATTTTTAAAAAAATCTTGAAAGTTCACTCTCGATTTAAAAGCTGGACTGTGACCGACTTAGAGCTTCCGTGTTTTCGTGTCCCCGTCTGCGCGGCGTCGAAATCACGTTCCATGTCGCTTTCACGCGTGTCCGTGTCCCCCCTCCCTGGCAGCCATGACACCGCCGCCCCTGCACGTGTCCTTCTCGGCCAGCGGCTTCGCGGGAGGATCGAGGTAACGGTGGGGTCGGGGGGTCACGGGGGGTCACGCGCGTGCGCGGGGACGCGGGCGCGCGCGTGTGAAAAAAAACCGCGCGTGACGCGAACACGTCACGTGTCGCGTGTGCTATGGTCGCGGGTCGCGCGCGTGTCGCGCGGGTCCGTGACCCGCGACACGTGACACGCGGTCCCCGGCGCCCACGTCCGGCCGTTCCTTGTGTGTCGCATGCACACGCGTGTGCAGGGACATGGACGTCCACACGGGACGCGCCTACGTCACATGTTGCGTGTTATTCGCGCACGCGTGAGCCCGCGACACGTGACACACGCTCCCCAGCGCACCCACACGGGGCGTCCCGTGCGCGTCCGGCCGTTCCCTGTGCGTACACGTGTGCATGTGTGTGTTTTCCGTGTGCCGCAGGCGTGCACGCGGTTCGCCTACGACCTCGCGGAGGAGACGCGGCGGCAGCCGCTGGGCGCCGTGACCCCCGGGTACGACTTCATGGGCCGGCTGAGGTGCGTGTGCGTGGGGACGCGTGGGGGGGAACGACGCAGACACACGCGTGTGAGAGAACACGGATCATTCCGTGACGTCCCGTGTTCGCGTGATCGCGGCTTCACGGGCGCGACGCGGGGTTCACACGCACACGCGTGTAACGTCCCGTCCGCATGCCAGGCCCGGCGTGGAGCGGCTCCTCCCTCCCGACGCCCACGCCCGGGCGCATGGGCGCCTGCACGTGTCCGTGACGCCCGCGCGGCGCCGCGAGAACCGCCTGGTGTCGGCGTTCCCGTCCCGGGAGGACCTGGTGCAGGTGAGCGGGGTCACGCGTGCGAGGGGCACACGGGATCTGCGCACGCGTGAGAAAACACGCCAACACGCGTGCACACGTGATGACACGTGGTCGTGGGCGCATGCGACCTTTACCCCGGCGTGGGCGCGCGTCGCACGCGCACGCCGGCCCCCGGCCCGCGCAACCCCACATCCCGCTCACGCGTGTCCCGTGTCCCCCCCCCAGGTCCTCCTCGCCAGCAGCACATGGGACCGCGGGGCGGGCGGGGCTTCCCGGGGACACGTGACACGTGACACACGTGACCATACGTGACACGTGTTTCACGCGACGACACGCGTGTTTTTTCACACCACACGCGTGTTTTCCCACGACACACGCGTGTTTCCCCGTGTCACGACTCACTCCCCGTCCCCTCCCGCCCCCCCCCCGCCCCGCCCCGCCCCAGCTCTCCCTGGCCAACCTGACACGCCTGCGCCACGCGCTCTTCCCGCCCCCGCGCCCCGCCCTGGAGGCGGCCTTCTACGGCGGCTTCCGCGACGCCGTGCGCTTCCTGCGCCGCGAGGGCTGGCTCCGGTGAACACGCGTGGGCGCGCGCGCGCGGAGACCCCCGAATCCCACGTGCGTGTGCGACGGACACGCGTGGGCGGCGAGTCAACACGGGACGGACACGGACACACACGCGTGTGCCTGCGTGTCCGCGCGCGCGCCGGCGCCCCCGACGACCCCCGGCCCGGGACGGCATCCGGATCCGCCCACCGCGTCCGGAGCGTGAGCGAGCGACACGCGTGTGGCGCGCGTGACTCCGTCCCCGGGACCCCGGGACGGACACGCCAGGAGGCGGGGCCCCGGCCTGGTCCTCGGGGGCGGGACTTCCTGTGGGGCGAAGATTGATGGGCGGGCGGGCCCCGGAATTTGAAATAAAAAATTTTCATTTTGGTAAATTTCAAAAATTTGAAATTTTTTTTTTTGTTTCCGAATTTTGGTTTTTGAATTTCGAAATTTAAAAAAAAATATTCCGCCCGGCGTGTTGTTGGCGTGGCGTCTCTAGTTTTTCTCTGGCGTGCTCGGTCGACCGTCGCGGGACGGGCGGGCGGGCGCCGAGATTTAGAATTAAATTTTTAAATTTAATTTTGAATTCAATTTTTTGTCTCCCGAAAATTGTTTTCAAAATTCACCTGAATTTTTTAAATTTATTTTTCAATTTCTGTTTTTTTTATTTAAATTTTATTTTTTTTTTTTGTATTTTTTTTTTTGCCTTTGTTTCCCTCCGTGCTCCGGAATCTACGGACAGAAACCTGAAAATTCAAATTCAAAAATTTCCAGAGTCAGAAAAAAGAAAAAAACATTTTTCCCGAAAAAATTAAAAAATCAAATTTGAAAAATTTCAAAATTGAAATTGAAATCAAACACTCAAACTTTTTGTTTTTTTTGGAACCTGGGGACGCCGTCCCACGTTTATTCTCGCTTTCGCGCGAACACGGTGTCTGGGGAGACGTTTTCACATTAACGGATTCTGAAGCTCACTTTTACTCGTCCTTCGCACACGGGCCGCGCACGGCGTGCGGTTTTTTTTTTTCCGGGGAATAAATATGGGGGCGACACACACGGGCGCGGGGACGGAGACGAGGGAGGGGCGCAGACGGGGAGACGTGGCGCCCCAGGGGGCGCGGTGGGGGCGGAATAAATAAATAACGCGGGAGGAGGTGGAATAAATAACGAAGTGAAAATTGAAATTTGGCGGGAAATGAAAACTAAAATTTTCGTTTGGAAACAAAAGGAAAATTTCAAAAACGAAAAATAAAAATCTAAAAGTTAAAGGGAAAAATAAAGAAAAAAAAACCCACAGGAACAGATCAGTGAGAAATTTTAAATTTAAACATTTTCAAATTTCAAAGTTCAAAACCAACAAAATTCGAAAAATTTAAAATTTCAAATCAAAAAATAAAATGAAAAAATTCTAAATTTTAAAATTAAAACCAAAAATTTGAAAATTTAAATTTAAAATTTTAAATCAAATATTAAAAAAATCGGGAAACGAGAAAAAACAAAAAAAACGTGACACATGGCGCGCGGCGCCTCCCCCCACCCCCGGAACCGCGTGGGACGCCGCGCGGGGTCACGCCATGCACATGCTGGTGACACGGGACCCACACGGGGAGGGCGGGGACGACGGTGCCCGGCGCACGCGTGTTCCCGCGGACGCGGGTCGCGGCGTTCCCGGGGAGGCGGAGCGTCCGGGAGACGTGCACACCACGCGGACGGGGGGGCCGAGGGTGGGGGCGCGGACACGCGTGTGCACGCGCACACGGGACACTGACCGGGTCGACGCGGGGGGGGGGCGTGGACGTGAATACTGACAGTGGCCAGGGGGCGGGGCGGGGGGTTCACAGGTGCGTGTCTCGTTGCACGAGGGTCTCCGGGCGGCGCACGCGTGTGCCGGGGAACATGCACACGCATGTCTCAGGGTCCACACGCACGCGCGCGTCCGGGTCCACACGGGCCCCGGCGCACACGCATGCGCACGCCTCCGTCGTCACATTCGTCTCGGGCTTCACACGGGACGTGTCCGTGGCGCACGCGGGTCACGCGTGCTCCCAGGGGAGCATCACGTGCACGCGCCGCGTCCTGCGTCCCAAACACTGGGCGGCGGCGAAGCAGCAGCAGCAGCAGCAGCGGCGGCGGCGGCGGCGGCGGCGGGGCACACGCGTGTGCAAAACCGCACACGCCTCCTTCACGCGTTTCCGGAAACTTCTGCGCGTGTGGCCCGGGGGAGGGTGGGGGCCTCCGGGGTCGCGGCCCGCGACCCCCGCCGACCCCGGAAGGTCCCACACGCGCCGACCGACCCGTGTTGGCGTGTCCTTGGCGTGTCCTTGGCGTGTCGGTGGCGTGTTCCGTGCCCGTCAGCGCCCGCGGGCGTCGTCGCCGGCGCAGTGGCACGCCAGGGCGGAGGGGGCGGAGCGGCAGCAGAGCTGCAGCCAGGGCTTCCAGACGAGGTTGGCGGGCGAGAGCTGGTCGGGCACGGCGGGGTCGAGCGTGCGGGCGTGGGCGCGGACGGCGGCGGCCACGGCGGCCAGGACGGCGTGGTAGCGGGGCTCGGCGGCCGGGGTCAGCGGGCGGCGCTCGCCGGGGTCGCGGGAGAGGTCGAAGAGCAGCGGGGGGGTCGTGGCGCGTGACGTGGTCGCCGTGGCAGAAGCACACGTGCGTGGAGAAGCAGCCGTTGGCGCCCGCCGGGTCGAACTTGGGCGTGAAGAAGAAGGCCTTCCACACGGCCGTGTCTGCGGGGGGCGGGGCGTGAACACGCGTGTGAGACATGGGGACGCGTCATCGACACGTGAACACGCGTGCGACACACATGGTGACATGTCATTTACCCGTGAACGTGCGTGTGTGACAGACGTGGTAACGCGTCATTTACTCAGCGACACGTGAACACGCGTGCGCAACGGGTACATAAACGTCGTTGACACATGAACACGCATGTGCGGTGGACGCGGCAACACGTCACGGACACGTGAACATGCGTGTGCGATGGGTACACAAACGTCATCAACACGTGTGCGACATGGTAACATGTCATTTACACGTGAACACGCGTGTGAGGCGGACGCGGTAATGCGTCAACAGAAACACACGTGTGCGGCGGATACACAAAATTCATCAACACGTGCACACGCGTGTGCGGCGGACATGGTGACGCGTCCTCGGGATGTGGACGCGTGTGAGTGGTGGACACGGTAATGTGTCATGGACACACGAACATGCGTGTGCTGGTGCAGGGAGGGCAAGGGACACATAAGACGGGGTGACGGGGGGTGGGGACGGTGCCAGTCGGGGGAGCGTGTGCGCTAAGCGCGTGCGGGTGAGAGGGGAGGTCGACACACGTGAGGCGTGGGCGGGGCGTGTTCAGCGTGTGCGCGAGGCGCGTGCCGTGATTTAAGTGTGTGCGAAGCGTGTTTAAGGTGTGTGTGAGGCGTGTGTCAGGCGTTTACGTGGCGAGTGCGAGGCATGTGCGCGTGCCTCCACGGCGCGCGTTAGCCGTGTGGCGCGATTCATGTGTGCGGGAGGCGTGTGCGCATGCATCAAGCACACGCATTAGGCGCGCTGCACCATTTAAGCGTGTGCGAGGCGTGTACGGGGCCTGTGCACGCGCGTTCACCGCAGGTGTCAGGCGCATCGCGCGATGCAAGCGTGTCGGTGGCGTGCGCACGCGCGTTTGGTGTGTGTCATGTGCGTCACGTGCTTTTTGCGTGTCCGTGGCGTGTTGCAGGGCGTGTGCTTGGCGTGCGCGCTCACCGTTCCGCGGGCGCCAGCGCACGGCGTTCAGGTAGGCGTTGCAGTAGTGGAAGAGGAACTCGTGCGCCGACCGCGTGGTCCGGCCGCGCAGCAGCGGCATCAGGTCGCGCCCGTCGATCACCCTGCGGGGCGGGGCGGGGGGGGCGGGGCACACGCGTGGGCGCGGGGCGGGGCGCGGGGAGAGCGGAGGAAAAAAAAACACACACGCACGCGGGGACACACGCGTGTGCGCGCGTCCACGGTCACGCGTGTCCACGCGTTAGGGACGTCCCGCCTGTCAATCACCTCCCTTCCCGACAGGAAGTCCCGCCCGGCTGTCCGTCAAGCCGCCCATAGACAGGAAGTCCCGCCCCAAATCAAGCAAAAAACACGTGTGCATGTCTGGGTCACGCGTGTTCACGCGCCGGGGTCCCGCACCGGGCTGTCAGTCGTCCCACAGGAAGTCCCACCCCGCTGTCCATCAAGCCGCCCATAGACAGGAAGTCCTGCCTCCCCACCAAAAAAAAACGCGTGTGCATGTCCGGGTCACGCGTGTTCACGCGCGGGCATGTCTGTCTGTCGGCCAGTCATCCCACAGGAAGTCCCGCCCGGCTGTCCATCTTGTTGCCAGTAGACAGGAAGTCCCACCCCCAAAAAACACCAAAAAAAAAAAAACACCCCAAAGAAACCAGACACACGTGCGCACGTCCCTGTCACGCGTGTGCACGCGTGGATGGCCGCGCACGCACGCACGCGTGTCGCCCGCCCGCCCGCCCCGTGACTCACCGGTCCGGCGGGAGCCCGGCCCCCGCCAGGGCGGCCACGGTGGGGAAGACGTCCATGTGGCTCGTGGGCTCGGCGACCTCCGACCCCGCGGGGAGCATCATGGGGAAGCGCACGAGGCCCGGCACGCGGATGCCGCCCTCCCAGTTGTTCGCCTTCCCGCCTGCGGGGCGCGCGGAGCACACGCCAAGGACATGCCAGGGACACGGGGAGAGACACGGGTTTCGCACGTTGACTCGCGGGAACACGCGTGTGGGTGTTCAAACACGTTCACCGCGCACACGCGTGCGAGCCCGGACCCACCCGGCCGCCCCCGCGCGCGCCCCCTGGTCGGTCGATGCCGTTCATACCACGCGGAACCGCGCGTGTGCGCGCGCAAACCCGTCAGGGTAAATCTGTCAACGGGACCGTGTGCACACGCGTGTGTCCCGCCCGGCCGCCCCGCTCCCCGCGGCGGAGCCCGTGGGTCGCACGGTGCATCACGCGGGCGCGCCCACGGGAACACACATGTGCGTGCATAAATGTAAGCACGTTGGCTGTGCACGTGGGAACACGCGTGTGCGCGCGCGGCCCCACGTAACCACGTCGCCCGTGCCCACGTGTGCGGGTGTGCTCGCCGCCCCGCCCCGCCCTCGCCCTGGTGTGCAACACACGGAGCCCCACGTGTCACGCGGCATCACGCGTGTGTGCACGGGTGAACACGCGTGTGCGCGCGTGTGAACACGGACACATGCCGGCCGCGCGCGCCCCCGCGTGCGCGCTCACCGCGGTAGATGCCGTTGCTGCCGCCGTGCACCTCGCCCCGGGCCGTGACCTCCTCCACGTGGGCCCCGTGGTCGGACGAGAAGTACACGAGCGTGTGGTTGGCCAGGCCCAGGCGGTCGAGCGCGTCCAGGATCTGACCTGCGGGCGGGGCACACGCGTGTGGGCGAGTCGCGCACGCTGCTCATGGTCACACTTGTGCACACACGTAACCACATACGTGGGTTTTTCACACACACACGTGTGCACACACGCGCCGACACGCAGACACGCACGCGGCCACTGGGGTTCCCACGCTCACACATATGTACGTTTCTCGTGGTCGCACGCGTGTGCGCACGCTTCACACACCCATGTCGGTTTTTCACACACATGTGTGCACGCACGCGCAGACACGCAAACACGCACGCGGCCACCGGGGTGCGCCGGGCCCCGGCACGCACGCTCACGGCCCCCCTCGCGTGCTGACCCGTCCGCGTGTGCGCACACGCGTGTGCGTCCAGACACGCACGCACGCGCACAGGCTCACATCCAGACGCCGATCCACTCGCCCTCCGCCACACGCGTGTGCAGCGCCCGCTAACACGTGCCTGTGCGGGGCGACGCAGGCACAGCCACACGTTCACACGCGACCACACACACACAGTGACACACGCGGTGGCGGTCACTCGCGCGCAGACACACGCCGACACGCTCCCACACGTGTGCACGGTTGCCGCCCCCGGAGATCCTGCACGCAGACGCGCACGCAGACCCGCAAGTGGGGGTCCGCACGCGCACGCGCACACGCTAACGCGTGGCGACACGCACAAGCGCGCGCGCAGACACACACACACAGGAAGCGCGGACACGCGCGCGCGCACACGTGAACACGGCGGCCGGGTCGGCACCTGTGTGCGCCCCCATGCCGATTTAAACCCGTGCAAACCCGCGCACACCCACACACAGGAACGCAGATGCGCGCACACGTGAGCACGGCGACCGGGTCGGCCCGTGTGTGGCGCCCACGCACCCACACGCGGGTGCAGACACACGTGGACACACGCCCACGCCCGCAAACACCACGCGCACACGTGTGAACACCAACACGCGCACGCGCTAATGCGCGAACACGTGTGAACACGCACACACACGGACACACACACGCACACATGAGCATGTGCGCACACGCTAACGCGCACACGCCAACACGCGCGCACGCGCCCCGCACACGCGTGCCCCCGCCCCGCCCCGCCCCGCCCCGCCCCGCGCTCACCCACGCTCCAGTCCATCTCCTCGGCCGCGTCCCCGTACGCCCCGTGCCGGCTCCTCCGCGCGAAGTCGGCGCCCGCGAAGTGCGCCGTGTGCACGTGCAGGAACGACACGAACAGCAGGAACGGCGCGTGCGCGTGTCTGCGGGGCGGGGGGCGGGGCTCGCACACGCGCACGCACGCACACGCGTGTGTGGGGACCCGCGACCCACGCGCCCCGGCCCCGCCCCGCCCCGTCCTGGGAGACCTCCCCCCCGTCCCCCCCGACCGGCACCATCCCGACTCCCCTCGTGACTCTCTCTGACCCCGACCGGCACCATCCCAACCCCCCCCAGGTGACTCTAGGACCCCGACCGGCACCATCCCAACTCCCCACGTGGCTCTAGGGCCCCGACTGGCACCATTCCCACCCCCGCCCCCCCCATGTCATCCCGGGACCCCGACTGGCACCATCCCAACCCCCCGAGACCCCATCCTGGGACCCCGGCTGGCACCATTCCCGCCCCCCACGTGATACCAAGGCCTGGGACCGGCACCATCCCAGCCCCCATGTCACTCTCTGACCCCGGCCGGCACCATTCCCACTCCCCCGGGTGACTCTGCGACCCCGAGTGGCACCATTCCCACCCCCTCATCCCATCCCGTGACCCCGACCGGCACCATCCCAACCCCCCACGCCATGTTATGACCCCAACCGGCACTATCCCCACCCCCCCCAGGTGACTCTCGGACCCCGACCGGCACCATCCCGACCCCCCACGCCATCACATCCCATCCCGTGACCCCGACCGGCACCATTCCAACCCCCCCGGGTGACTCTGCGACCCCGAGTGGCACCATTCCCACCCCCTCATCCCATCCTATGACCCTGACCGGCACCATCCCAACCCCCCCAAGGTTATCCTGTGACCCCCCCCCCGCGACCCCCCCCCCCCCAACGCGCCCCCGACCCCCCGGCCCCCCCCCCGCCCCCGCCCCCGCCTCACCTCTCGAGGAACCCGACGGCCTGGCGGGCCAGGCGCTGGGCCAGGCGGTCGTAGGCGGCGGGCTGCTGGGTGACCTCGAACCCGGTCATGAGGAAGCAGTTGGCGGGGCGGAAGTAGCGCAGGAAGGCCAGGAAGGCGGCGGCCACGGCGCCCGCCAGCAGCGCCAGGGCCAGGAAGGCGGCGGGCGGCACGCGGGCCAGGCGCAGGCAGCGCAGCAGCGCCAGGGTCAGCACGGCCGCGCACAGCGCCTGCAGCGGCGCGAACACCAGCCAGCGCACGCCCGCCCCGAACACCGTGCCCGCCCCGGGCCGGCAGTCCCGCAGGTTGGTCACCGGCGCCCCGTGGAAGAAGTCGAACCCGTGCCGCAGCGGGTGGTGGCAGAAGTCGCCGCGGTGCCGGCAGCTCAGGCCCAGGTGCCACTTGCCTGTGCGGGGACGGGGGGGGGGGGGGGTGGGGTGGGGTGGGGGGGTGAGGCGGGAGAGCACAGGGAGGGGGCGGGGGGGTCAGCCGGGGGGGTCCCGCGGGGTATGGCGTTGGGGGGGGTTGGGATGGTGCCCGTCGGGGTCATAGGATGACATTGGGGGGTGGGAATGTTGCCAGTCGGGGTCATGGGATCGTGTGGGGGGGTGGGGATGGTGCCAGTCGGGGTCATTGGGTGACGCGGGGGGTCGGGACGGTGTCGGTCGGGGTCCGGGGGGTCGGGATGGTGCCGGTCGGGGGTCGCAGGGTGACGTGGGGGGTCAGGATGGTGCCAGTCGGGGTTGTAGAATGACACGGGGGGGGTCGGGATGGTGCCGGTCGGGGGTCACAGGGTGACGTGAGGGGTCGGGATGGTGCCGGTTGGGGTCGTGGGATAGCGGGGGGGGTTGGAATGATGTCAGTCGGGGTCATAGGATGACATGGGGGGTTGGGATGGTGTCAGTCAGGGGTCCCAGGGTGGCGTGGGGGGTGGGGATGGTGCCGGTCGGGGGTCATGGCATGATGTGGGGGGTCGGGATGGTGCCGGTCGGGGCCCGGGGGGTCGGGATGGTGCCGGTCGGGGGTCGTAGGGTGGTGTGGGGGGTCGGGATGGTGTCGGTCGTGGGACGGGGAGTTGGGATGGTGCCGGTCAAGAGTCATGGGATGGCGTGGGGGGTGGGGATGGTGTCGGTCGGGGTCCCGGGATGGGACGTAATGACGTGGGGAGTCGGGATGATGCCGGTCGGGGTTGTAGAATGACACGGGGGGGGTGGGAATGGTGCCGCTCGGGGGTCCCGGGACGACGCGGGGGGTTGGAATGGGGCCAGTCAGGGGTGTTAGGATGACACGGGGGGGTGGGAATGGTGCCCGTCGGGGTCATAGGATGACGTGGGGGGTCGGGATGGTGCCGCTCGGGGGTCGCGGGACGACGCGGGAGGCCCCGGGGGGGGGTGGGGATGGTGCCGCCCCCCGACCCCGACCCCGGCCCCCGACCCCGACCCCGGCCCCCCGGCCCCCGACCCCGACCCCGACCCCGCCCCCCGCGGCCCCCGACTCACCGACGAGCCCCGTGGCGTAGCCGCGCTCCTGCAGCAGCCGCGCGAAGGTGACCTCGCCGGGGGGCAGCCCGCCCGAGGAGGCCGCGAACAGGAACACGCCCACGCGGTTGTGCGACGCCATGCCTGCGGGCGGGGCGGGGTCGCGGGGGGTCAGGGGGGGTCACAGGGGGTCACACGGGGGGTCACAGGGGTCAGGGGAGTCACACGGGGGTCACGGGGGGGTCACACGGGGGGTCACAGGGGTCACAAAGGGTCAGACAGGGGTCATATGGGTCACACGGGCTCACATGGGGGTCACAGGGGTCAGTGTGGGGTCACGGGCACGTCACGCGGGGTCACACGGGGTCACATGGGGTGACATGGGGTCACACGGGGTCACACGGGGGGGCACACAGGGCCAGACAGGGTCATGTGAGGTCAGAGACGTCACACGGGGTCACACGGGGTCACCGGGGGTCACCCAGGGGTCACGCAGAGCGTCATAAAGGGTCACACGGGGTCACACAGAGTCAGACAAGGTCACATGATGTCACATGGGGTCACACAGGGGGGCACAGGGTGTCATGGGTTCACATGAGGGGTCACAGGGGTCACATAGGGGTCACATGATGTCACACAGGGGTTACACGGGGTCACATGATGTCTCAGGGGGGTCACGGGGTGTCATGAGGGGTCAAGGGGTCACACGGGGTCACATGATGTCACACAGGGGTCAAATGGGGGTCACACAGGGTCACACGGGGTCACGCACACGCATGTTCCCGTGTCCACCCCACGCGCCCGCCTCCCGGTGACCCCCCCGCGGTGACCCCGCGCCCCCCCCGACGGGTCACACGCGTCCCGCCCCCCCCACCCCCACCCCGCGGGGCTCATGCGTCGCCGCCGTCACACGCGTGTTCCCGTGTTCGCGCGACCCCCCCGCGCCCCCCCCACCCCGCTCACCCGAGCGCACGGGGTAGCGTCCCGTGAGGAAGGCGGCCCGGCTGGGCGTGCACAGGGGCGCGGCCGCCAGGTGCTGCGTCAGCTTCACGCCCTCGCGCGCCAGGCGGTCGATGTTCGGGGTCCTGCGCGGGGGCGGGGGGGGGGGGCGGGGAGGGGACACGCGTGTGACCCGGGGGGTCGGGGGTCACGGGTCACCGCTCCGGGGTCAGGGGTCAGGTTCCCACGCGACGGACACACGCGTGGGACGGACACACGCGTGGGACGGACACGCGTGTGGGACCCGGGGCCGGGGTCGGGGTCGGGGTCGGGAGTCACCGCTCTGGGGTCAGGGTGGGGTCGGGTCAGAGGTCACAGGGCGGCCCCCCCCCCCCCGGTGGGGTCAGGGGTCACGGCCCCGGGGCACACGAGACGAACGTGTGATGGAGACGTGAGCGTCACACGCGTGGGACCCGGGGTCGGTTTCCAGGGGTCCCAGTTCCGGGGTCGGGGGGGGTCGCCGGCCGCCCCCGGGGGGGGGGGTCAGGGGTCAGTCAGCTCGGGGGGTTCAGGGGGGGCGTCCCGGGGGACACGCGACACGGACACGTGACGGACACACGCGAGCGACACGGGACACACATGTCGCGGGTGGCGGGTCCCCCCCCCCCGGGGTCCCAGTTCCGGGGTCGGGGGGGGGCCCGGGGGTCACCCCCGGGGGTCAATGGGGGTCAGGTCGGGGGGTCGTCAGGGGTCCCGGGAGGACACGCGGCGGACACGCGCGTGTGACACGCGTGTGGTGTGACGTGTGTGTGTCGGGGTCCGGGGGTCGCCCCGGGGTCGGGGCCCCGCGCACCTGAGCGTGGTGTTGCCGTAGCAGCCGGGGTCGCCGATGCCCAGGTCGTCGGCCATGATGAGCACGAAGTTGGGCCGGGGCGGGGCGTCATGGCCGCCGGCGGCGGGGGCGGGGCCCGCGGGCAGCAGCAGCAGCAGCAGCAGCGGCGGGAACATGGCGGCCCTGCGGGGGGGGGCGGGTCAGCAGCGTGGACTGAGCGCATGGTACTTACCGTGCACTTAGCGTGTGCTTACCGTGTACTTAGCATGTACTTAGCATGTACTTAGCGTGTCGTAGTTGGCGAGCACCGAGCGTGTTCTTGGCGAGGACTGAGCGTGGACCTCGTGGGTCGTGCTCTCTGTGTGCGCGGCACTGAGCGTGTCGGAGGCGTGTGCTTGGCATGGAGTACTTAGTGAGGACTTAGCATGTTGGAAGCGTGTGCTTAGCGTCGCGAGCACCCGGCGTGTTCCAAGCGGGTCCTTCACGTGTAGTACTCAGTGCGTGGTACTGAGCGTGTCGGAGGCGTGTGCTTGGCATGTAGTGCTGACTGCGCCCCTAGCGAGCGCCCAGCGTGCCCTGGACGAGGACTTAGCGTGTTGTAGGCGTGTCCTGAGCGTGCACCGAGCGTGTTCTTAGCGGGTCCTTAGCGTGTGGCGCTCAGTCACACGGACTCAGCGTGCACTCAGCACCCAGTACTGACCAAGCACCCAGCGCCCCGCTTAACATGGACCAAGCGTGTTCCTGGCGTGTCATGGCGTGTTCTTAGCGCGCCGACCTCCGACCCCCCCCGGGTGCTGGGCGCCGAGTCCTCGGGAGGCCCCGGGGGGACCGAGCACAGCACCCCGACCCCCCCTGACCCGCTTCACACGTCCCACACGCGAACGTCATACGTGACGTCATACGTGACGTCATACGTGACGTCGCTCGCCAGGGCGTCACGCGGGGGGGCTGGTGACCCCCTCCCGCCCCGAGGCCCCGTGACGTCACTCGCGCCCGCCCCCGCCCCGTTTCCTCCCCACCTCAACATGCTAAGAACATGCTAAGGACCAAGAAAAAAAAAAAAAAGGCCCCGGGGCGGTCGGGGGTGGGCGGGGCCTCGGGGGGGGTCACGGGGTCGACCCTTCTGACCCCCTCCGACCGCGTGACGTCACTCACACCCACCCCCGAAACACCCCCGCGCGCGAACATGCTAAGAACATGCTAAGGACCGAGAACAAACAAACCAAAACAAAAAAATGGCGGCCCCGGGGCGGGTCGGGGGTGGGCGGGGCCTCCGGGGGGGTCACGGGGTCGACCCCTGTGACCCCCGCTGACCCCTCTGACCCCGTGACGTCACTCAAACCCACCCCGACCACCCCCAACATGCTAAAAACATGCTAAGGACCGAGATCAAAAAATAAAAATGGCCCCGGGGCGGGTCGGGGGTGGGCGGGGCCTCGGGGGGGGGTCACGGGGTCGACCCCTGTGACCCCCCCACTGACCCCCACTGACCCCGTGACGTCACTCAAACTCACCCCGTTCCCCCCCCAACATGCTAAGAACATGCTAAGGGCCGAGAAAAGAAAATAAATGTGGCCCCGGGCGGGGGGCGTGGCCTCGGGGGGGGTCGCGGGGTCGACCCCGCGCCGACCCCGTGACCCCGTGACCCCCCTCGACCCCGCGCCGACCCCGACTCACCGCCTCAGTCACCGTGGCGCTCGGTTCCTCTCGGCGCGCGCGGGTCCCGGGGCCGCGGCGGGTCGTGTAGGAGTCCGTGAGTCCGAGGCCGCGGCCGGGGTGTCCTCTTGAATCCCGGCGTGCCCCGCGGGCCCGCCCCGTGACGTCACCCGCGGCCCCGCCCCCCTCCGGGCGCGCATTCCAGGGCGGGCGGGGCGGGCGGGAGGCGCTTCCGGTGCCGTGCCAGGGCGTGGGCGTCCGTCACCGACGGTTGCCTGGCGACCCGGGAGGGACTTCCGGTCCCAATCTCTGTCCGGAGTGTCAGTCAGGGCTGTTTCCTAGCGACCCGGGAGGGACTTCCGGTGTTACTCCTGCTCCTTGGTGTCCATCACGGAGGTTTCCTAGCAATTTGGGAGGGACTTCCGGTCCAAGTCTTGAGCGATATGTCAATCACGGGGGTTTCCTAGCGACCAGGGCGGGACTTCCGGCTTCCTGCGGAGTGACTCAGGAATCCTCCAGGAAGAAAACAGCCCCGGGGCCCGCATTCCTGGGCGCCTGTCACTCAGGGGGCCGCGCGGGAGGGACTTCCGGTCCCAATCCCTGTCTGGAGCGTCAGTCACGGTGGTTTCCTGGCGACCCGGGAGGGACTTCCGGTGTCACGCCTGGTCCTGGGTGTCCATCAGGGAGGTTTCCTAGCAATTTGGGAGGGACTTCCGTTCCGAGTCTTGAATGATACGTCACTCACGAGCGTGTCCTAGCAACCAGGGCGGGACTTCCGGCTTCCTCTCGGATGACTCAGGAGTCGTCCAGGACAAAAACAGCCCCGGGGCCCGCATTCCTGGGCGCCTGTCACTCAGCGGCGCCGCGCGGGAGGGACTTCCGGTCCCGCGCCAGGTCACCGGTGTCTATCACAACGGTTTCCTAGCGACCGGGGAGGGACTTGTGGTCCGAGTCCCGAATACTGTGTCAGTCACAGCGGTTTCCTAGCGACCAGGGCGGGACTTCCGCCTTCCTGTGGCGTGACTCAGGAATCGTCCAGGAATAAACAGCCCCGGGGTCCGCATTCCCGGGCGGCTGTCCGTCACGGCCGCGTGGGCGGGACTTCCGGTGACTCCGCGGAGTGACGGACACGGCCCCGGGGTCCGCATTCCCGGGCGGCTGTCCGTCACGGCCGCGTGGGCGGGACTTCCGGAATGCGGAGTGACGGACGCGGCCCCGGGGTCCGCATTCCCGGGCGGCTGTCCGTCACGGCCGCGTGGGCGGGACTTCCGGATGCCACCGCGGAGTGACGGACACGGGCCCGGGGTCCGCATTCCCGGGCGGGCTGTCCGTCACGGCCGCGTGGGCGGGACTTCCGGAATGCGGAGTGACTGACACGGCCCCGGGGTCCGCATTCCCGGGCGGCTGTCCGTCACGGCCGCGTGGGCGGGACTTCCGGATGCCACAGCGGAGTGACTGACACGGCCCCGGGGTCCGCATTCCCGGGCGGCTGTCCGTCAGGGTCGCGTGGGCGGGACTTCCGGATGCCACCGCGGAGTGACGGACACGGCCCCCGGGGTCCGCATTCCCGGGCGGCTGTCCGTCACGGCCGCGTGGGCGGGACTTCCGGATGACAATGCGGAGTGACGGACACAGCCCAGGGGTCCGCATTCCCGGGCGGCTGTCCGTCACGGCCGCGTGGGCGGGACTTCCGGATGACACCGCGGAGTGACGGACACGGCCCCGGGGTCGGCATTCCCGGGCGGCTGTCCGTCACGGCCGCGTGGGCGGGACTTCCGGATGACAATGCGGAGTGACTGACACGGCCCCGGGGTCCGCATTCCCGCGCGGCTGTCCGTCACGGCCGCGTGGGCGGGACTTCCGGAATGCGGAGTGACGGACACGGCCCCGGGGTCCGCATTCCTCCGCGGCTGTCCGTCAGGGCCGCGTGGGCGGGACTTCCGGATGACAATGCGGAGTGACGGACGCGGCCCCGGGGTCCGCATTCCCGGGCGGCTGTCCGTCACGGCCGCGTGGGCGGGACTTCCGGATGCCACCGCGGAGTGACTGACACGGCCCCGGGGTCCGCATTCCCGGGCGGCTGTCCGTCACGGCCGCGTGGGCGGGACTTCCGGAGACCCCGAGGAGTGACGGACACGGCCCCGGGGTCCGCATTCCCGGGCGGCTGTCCGTCACGGCCGCGTGGGCGGGACTTCCGGATGCCACCGCGGAGTGACGGACGCGTCCCCGGGGTCCGCATTCCCGGGCGGCTGTCCGTCACGGCCGCGTGGGCGGGACTTCCGGATGACACCCTGGGGAGTGACGGACACGGCCCCGGGGTCCGCATTCCCGGGCGGCTGTCCGTCACGGCCGCGTGGGCGGGACTTCCGGATGCCACCGCGGAGTGACGGACACGGCCCCGGGGTCCGCATTCCCGGGCGGCTGTCCGTCACGGCCGCGTGGGCGGGACTTCCGGATGCCACCGCGGAGTGACTGACACGGCCCCGGGGTCCGCATTCCCGGGCGGCTGTCCGTCACGGCCGCGTGGGCGGGACTTCCGGAGACCCCGAGGAGTGACGGACACGGCCCCGGGGTCCGCATTCCCGGGCGGCTGTCCGTCACGGCCGCGTGGGCGGGACTTCCGGATGCCCCCCGCGGAGTGACGGACACGGCCCAGGGGTCCGCATTCCCGGGCGGCTGTCCGTCACGGCCGCGTGGGCGGGACTTCCGGATGACACCCTGGGGAGTGACGGACACGGCCCCGGGGTCCGCATTCCCGGGCGGCTGTCCGTCACGGCCGCGTGGGCGGGACTTCCGGAATGCGGAGTGACGGACACGGCCCCGGGGTCCGCATTCCCGGGCGGCTGTCCGTCACGGCCGCGTGGGCGGGACTTCCGAATGCTCCGGCGGAGTGACGGACGCGGCCCCGGGGTCCGCATTCCCGGCCGGCTGTCCGTCACGGCCGCGTGGGCGGGACTTCCGGTGACTCCGCGGAGTGACGGACACGGCCCCGGGGTCCGCATTCCCGGGCGGCTGTCCGTCAAGGCCGCGTGGGCGGGACTTCCGGATGACAATGCGGAGTGACGGACGCGGCCCCGGGGTCCGCATTCCCGGGCGGCTGTCCGTCACGGCCGCGTGGGCGGGACTTCCGGATGCCTCCGCGGAGTGACGGACACGGCCCCGGGGTCCGCATTCCCGGGCGGCTGTCCGTCACGGCCGCGTGGGCGGGACTTCCGGATGACACCCTGGGGAGTGACGGACACAGCCCAGGGGTCCGCATTCCCGGGCGGCTGTCCGTCACGGCCGCGTGGGCGGGACTTCCGGATGACTCCGCGGAGTGATGGACACGGCCTCGGGGTCCGCATTCCCGGGCGGCTGTCCGTCACCCCCGCGTGGGCGGGACTTCCGGATGACAATGCGGAGTGACGGACACGGCCCCGGGGTCCGCATTCCCGGGCGGCTGTCCGTCACGGCCGCGTGGGCGGGACTTCCGGATGACACCCTGGGGAGTGACGGACACGGCCCCGGGGTCCGCATTCCCGGGCGGCTGTCCGTCACGGCCGCGTGGGCGGGACTTCCGGATGCCACCGCGGAGTGACGGACACGGCCCCGGGGTCCGCATTCCCGGGCGGCTGTCCGTCACGGCCGCGTGGGCGGGACTTCCGGATGACACCCTGGGGAGTGACGGACGCGGCCCCGGGTCCGCATTCCCGGGCGGCTGTCCGTCACGGCCGCGTGGGCGGGACTTCCGGGCGACCCATCGTTCCGGGTCCAAACAGCCCCGGGGTCCGCATTCCTGCGCCGCTGTCCATCATCGCCGTATCCTGGCGACCCGAGGCGGGACTTCCGGCCGCGCTTCCCTTCGTGCGTCCATCAAGGCCGTCGCCTGGCGACCCGAGGCGGGACTTCCTGCCGCGCTTCCCTTCGTGCGTCCATCATCAAGGCCGTCGCCTGGCGACCGGAGGCGGGACTTCCGGCCGCGCTTTCCTTCCCGCGTCCATCAAGGCCGTCGCCCGGCGACCGGAGGCGGGACTTCCGCCCCGCCGCTATTGTTTACGTTTTGCTGCCGTTTAATGGCGGTTCAGCGATTTTCAGGGTCCTTTTAAATGGATTGTTGTTTGATGTTGGGTTTTATTAAATCTTTTAGCCGTTTCGTGATGATGAAATCTTGTTATTATTTAATTTCGGTCATTATTTAAATTTTATCACCGTTTCGTTGTGGTTGATTGATTTTCATTGTCCTTAAAATTCGATTTTAATTATTATTAAATGTTGTTTAATTATTATTTTATGTGTCATTTAAATTCATTATTGTTTAGTTGTCGTTATTATTTAATTTTATCACCGTTTCATTGTGGTTAATTGATTTTAATGGTCCTTTAAATTCATTATTATTGAATTTTAATGATTATTACACCTTGTTATCATTTAATTTCTGTTATTATTTAATTTTATCACCGTTTCATTGTGGTTAATTGTTTTAATGGTCCTTTACATTCATTATTATTGAATTTTAATGATTATTACACCTTGTTATCATTTAATTTCTGTTATTATTTAATTTTATCACCGTTTCATTGTGGTTAATTGATTTTAATTGTCCTTTACATTCATTATTATTGAGTTTTAATGATCATTACACCTTGTTATCATTTAATTTCAATTATTATTTGATTTTATTACCGTTTAACTGTGGTTAAAATTGTTTTTAATTGTCCTTTAAGTTCATTATTATTTAATTTTAATGATCATTACACCTTGTTATCATTTAATTTCAATTATTATTTGATTTTATTACCGTTTCATTGTGGTTAAAATTGTTTTTAATTGTTCTTTACATTCATTATTATTGAATTTTAATGATTATTACATCTTGTTATTTAATTATTATTTTATGTCTCATTTAAATTCATTATTGTTTAATTTTCGTTATTATTTAATTTTATCACCGTTTCATTGTGGTTATCTGATTTTAATGGTCCTATACATTCTTTATTATTGAATTTTAATGATTATTAAGCCTTGTTATTATTTAATTATTATTTTTTTTGTCATTTAAATTCATTATTGTTTAATTTTAGTTATTTAAATTCATCACCCTTTCGTTGTGGTTAATTGATTTCAATGGTCTTTTCAATTTATTATTATTGAATTTTAATGATTATTAAATCTTGTTATCATTTAATTTCAATTATTATTTAATTTTATTACCGTTTAACTGTGGTTACTTGATTTT